AGAGAGAAATTCGGGATTGGCATAGTTCAACTGATGTTCATGCAACAGAGGAAAAAGAAACACAAGAAAAAGATATGGCAGAAACATTGTGTGATAAGTGGGCAACGGTTGTATTGGCAACTACTGAAGCTGAATATATTCATCAGTTAAAAGAATTAGAAAATGAGTTTCAAAGGTGGCCTAAATTTATCCATTACCTCCATCAAACTTGGTTAAAATATAAAGAACGGTTCATTGCAGCTTGGACAGATCAACATATGCACTTTGGTAATACCAGCACAAATAGAGTTGAAGGCGCACATTCATCATTAAAAAGAGCTTTGACATCTAGTAAGTATGATTTTCTTGGCATGTGGCATATGATTCATCCTTCTCTTACAGTGCAAATTACAGAGATTACAACATCATTTGAGAGAAGTTTGATTTATGTGAAACATAATCATGACATCTTATGCTTTCAGAATATTAGAGGTTTTGTCTCGATAAATGCATTGGATTTGATTGTGGGTGAAATGAAGCGATGCAGTTATGTAGGCATGGACAACCATATTTGTGGGTGCAGCCTTCGTCGTACACATGGGTTGCCATGTGCACATGAACTTAATATAATTGGTCTCCAGGGTGACAAGATCCATTTGGAAGAAATAAATGACTTTTGGAAAAAGTTAAGTATTACTGTTGTTAATGTGGACTTGTCTGATCTTGGGGCGAGACCGGAGTTTCTTGCTCTCATTGACCGTTACAAGAACTCGACAACCGACCAACAGGTTTTTATGTTGAAGCAGATGTTGGAATTAGGAAATCCACAATGTAGTGGCTTGCTTCAACCGTTGGTGAAAGCTAAAACTAAAGGACGACCATTTGGATGGAGGAAAGAGTTGCCAAAGATTGATAACTCAACGAAACGTGATCCATCGGCATTTGAGCTGGAAATTCATGAGTTCAATTCATCCCAATCTGCTAAACCTACAGCGCCAGCAAAAAAGAAATTAAAAGTTACCAAATCAACAGCACCACGGAATAAGAAAATGGATGTTCTAAAGACACCTCAGAGTTTGGGTAAAGTGAGCATACTGAAATTTCCAGACTTTTTTCGACCATTTATAATCGATGCGAATAATGTTGATGGTGATGGAAATTGCGGTTTTAGAGCTGTGGCAGCGTGTATGGAGATGGACAGTGAAAATGGATGGTTGATGGTTCGAAGTGACTTGACAGGCGAACTTCTTTATTTTCGAGAGGAATATAATAAGGTGTTTGGTGGTGAAGAACAAGTTAATACACTTCTCGATATTTTGGATACTTATGACAGTCCATGCCCACCAAAGAATTGGTTCTTATTACCTTATATGGGTTATCTTGTTGCATCAACATATCATCATGTGCTTGTGTCTATTTCTCCTGAAGCTTGCTTGACTTTTGTACCATTGAGAAGTGCTCCTCCTAGTAAGAAGCAAAAAGTGCTTGCTATCGGGTTTATTGATGGCAATCATTTCGTACCGTTGAAGCTAAAAGCTGGTTGTCCAATTCCTGAACCTGTTGCATTATGGACAAAATTTCACCACCGCGAAGCTGACAAATGGGAGAAGTCTTTGCGGCAACGCAACCGTGCATTTAACGAAATTGCTGGCAACAAAGTACAGACACAAGAAGGGAGTTATGACCAGCCAATTATACTAGAATAAGAATATAATGCTTGTCAATGAAATGTTGAGATTTGTGTAACCTGCAAGGTATTGTTAACTTTGAGATATATAATATACTGATTTCTTTGTCACTAATATCTTCCAAGTTCCAACAATTATCTTGCACTATTTGTATCATTCTTGCGATGAAAAAGAATGTGTAACTTGTAGAATATAACACAAGAATAAGACATTCAGAAAGCCATGAGCTAAAGAATGTGTAACTTGTAGAATATAACACAAGAATAAGACAGTCCTAGGCGGCAATACCATGAGCTAAAAATCTGAAGTTTAAAAATTCAAGAATAGATGTAATTGGATCTAGATGGATTCGAACCATCAACCTCTCCATTTATGAGCGCTCTTTCCATTTTGAGCTTATAGATCCATTGAAAAACATATACACAGTATCAAGAAAGGAAAGGAAGTTGTCCAGCAAATACAAAATACAAACTTGTAGGGTTGTGTTACAGAAGGACATCTTGGAAGAGCAAGAAGAAGGCATTATTATAAAAATTATATTGCTGCGAAAAAGTACCTTATCCCATGACTTGGCTCGCAGGTATGGTTTCGTATATCAACATTATAACAACCAGTTCCCATTGATACGCAATCATCTCCTATAGGACAACAACAAAAAACATTAACCTTGTGAACACAATAATGAGCTTATAGGACTAGAAGCCACTGAACTTACCACTAGACACAATTGAATTATATATCCCCACATTTTTATGATTACATTTTAAAGTGTCTAAAACATTAAGATGTACACTTTAAGAATAGTAAGTAGCAATCCACTTTTTTAAAAAAAATATCATCTTTCTGATGGGCAGAGCATTACTGCTCCAACAAACATCCTAACATTGCACCACGTTTCAGATATTACCTAACCCCCTATTCATAAAGGAGTAAGAATTTGGATCATTCTCATTGTTAAAAAAGGCAAATGCAAAAAATAGGACAGATGCCCTTGGAGATGGTCTTAATAATTCAACAAGAGACTTTTAAATACTAAGGGAAACCATCACAGAAATTAATTGCACGAAGAGTCTGTGTTCTTCCAATTATTTAACAAGTTTCTGATATACTTTAGCCAACTGAGACCATGTAACATTGCATACAGAATAATGATGACAACATACATGGCTAATATGACAAAGCTGAAAATGAATTATAGCACATATTGCAAAGACTTACGTAATTGAGAGATCAGAAAAAAAAAACTGCTTGAGCGGCGTAT